ACCTCCGAAAGGACACCACCTATCTACAGAGTGCAGAGGGGTATACGACCGCACTACACCGAGGGATGGAGACGATCGCAGGCCTCCGCATTTCTCGCTAATGGGCCGATGGAAGGGCATATTAGATCATACATACGACTAACCATTGATGATAGCGTCTCTCGCCAGCGCACCCCGATGGGTAGTAATATATACGACCTGAATGTAACAACGGGTTTCCCCCACCCGATACATCAGCTCGAGTGGGTTTTATTTGTTGTGGAATTCTGTTTCCCATGGGCGCAAGTCCCCGTGGTTAATTACAACTCGAGCCTAGGGCCCAAGAAAACTCTCAATTAAGGATCCAATATTATTCTTCCCGGATAAGTCGATTGACATACAAAGGGGAGACTAGAAAATTCCTAATCAAAAGGAAAGAAATCGCTCAACTTGGCTTAATCAACATGCACAGTTCATCCCAGCATCTGGAATGACTAAGTTAGCAAGGAGAAAAAGAAAATCAATCACTTAAAGCATACAGAGAGGAAGGATAGAAGTGGCATCATCCATGTGACACGTATAAGCAGGATTTATAGTCCCTAAAGAAAAGGGCACTTACCCACTATTCAGGCATACTACGAGACACCTACTGTAGTAGCCTCAAATCCTAGATATAAGGTGTGCTTAGTGTTTACCCAATACTAACACTCGTGTCCTAGCTAATGCAATCTGGGCTTATATCCTGCCTGAAAAAAAAGCCAACTAATCACCTAAGCTCTTCAAATGTATGTTATCCGATCTTTATGAAAGATGGGTAGGTAGTTTAGTATTTTTGGAAGGCCGACATCTAGAGAGTTTCCTAATTGACCCTGAACTTATGTAGGGTGAATGTTTCTAGAGCTAATGCAATTAAATTTTAATTTAATGTGTTTCTAATGCAATGCATGCTGATTGAAAAGGCTAAAATCATATATGCATAAGATTTTAAAAATAAGCTTCTAGAAAATAATTTTTAAAAAAGACTAGGCCACCCAAGGTCTGACACTTCATCCTCATAGGCCAGATTATCCGAACTTTACCCGCAGGCGAGGAGGTGTCTTATTTAGATAGAGAAAAAGAGATGCAATAATAAGGATGTGACCTCGAATGATTCCGGCGGCTTCCTAGGTCGTTAGGTTTCTATGTTATTTAATTCTTAAAATTTTAGAATTCAGTTACGTGTAGAAAAATAATTTCATCCTAAAGAGCTTAGTGATAATCAGGCCACACACATGCATGAAAGAAATTTAGAAAAAGTAGGTAAGTTCTACTATGCAAACAATAGTAAACACATCAATAAAAATAAACCATCAAAAGTAAAGTCCAAAGTCCATGGCAAGTGTCACATAAGTATAATTTAGGGTATGCAGGTGGCCAGACCCCACCGACAACATTCTGGATTTTAATCCTACTACATGACACAAGTCTTAAAGTCAGGCATTTTATCTTCAAGTCTCCATCTTCGAGTGGATTATCCATCTCTGGACCTTTTCCCTTTGGATTGTCTCCTTCGGGCTCTGTCTAGTTTGTCCTCCATAAGGGTATCCAAATGACTAAAAAATTCTTTAAGAGGGTAGATCTATTTTAATTTCTCATTAAGCTAAATAAGTAAATGACTAATTTTCTTAGCCAAATATATTTTTTTAAAAGTTTATAACCAACATAAAATAAACTTAATATATATTTTGATAATAAAATCCTAACTTTGATTAAGAAGATTAAAAAATTCCAAAGTTTTTAATCCTTTATTGAAGTCTATGGCTCTCAAAAAGTGTTTGTGTGCTTCCATAAAGGTTTATATGGCTCAGTTAAGATATAAAGATTTTAGACACTAATAAAATAAATATAGTGGGCCCTTGCTAAGTTTTGAGGATCTCCACTAATATCTTTAAGTACTAGTAAAGTTTTCCGGGACTCCACTTATTAATTTTTGAAAAGTTTTAATGACATAGTCTAGCCATTAGAAAAAAGGTTTAATGAAAAATTAAAGCAATTTTCAAATGTTTAATGACTAAAAAATGTGAGAAAAGTCATTTTCAATTTATCTAATTAAGCTCTTAATACTTTAGGTCACTTATATAAATAGTATCTTATGCCCTAGGTTTGAAATGGAATACTCACATACAAATCATAGAGTCCCTATTTATTTAAGACATAAAATTTTCTCTTACAAAATATTCTAAGTGAGATTTTTTTTTATTTAATAGGGAGATAATATGCTTCCTTTCTATGGTGATGGTCTTCAATATTTTGGCAATGTTTTGATATTTGTTGTACTTAGTTTTTCACACTAATGGAAGATCCAAATGTAAAAATATATTTTTCGTTATAAATTTGATTTTTTCCTTGCTTTGCTTTTATATTTTTTCTAGTGTTCTATAGGAGAACATTTTTAGGAGGTATACTCTCAAAGAAAGAGAGAGGGATATTATCTCAAAAGAATATTTGGCGTTATTCCTTCTCTGCCTCTAAGAGAGTAATGATTTTTTTGTGCAAGTTTTGTCATAAATTGATAAGTGGTATTAGAGCCTCGGCGTTATATTTGGCTACATACAATAGTTAAGATCTTACTATGGCATAATAAATCAATGTATGCCTTGATTATTCGAGTGATAATTCCCTTATGTTTGATAGAATTATTTTTAATAGTTGGAAAATTTTATATGATAATATCTTCGCAAAGTATTAACAATAAGATGTGGTTTATTTGGTCAACTAGTTTATTTTATTCATGCAAAATTATTAGATAACTTTAAATGTTTGATATTTAAACACTGATAAATCCATTTTAGATATTCTTCTTTATTTAGCGTTCATTATAAGACAAGTTATAAAGAAATTTTTTTAAAAAATGACAAACAAAAAGAAGAATTTCAAAGAGCTGAAGGATGAAAATAAATGACATTCTAACAATATGAGCAAGAAGAAGAAGAATGTAATGCTCAAGACCTAAATTGCAAAATATGTCCATTTTTTTTCTTAATTAATTTATGAGAGGTTCTAATTTTCCTTGAATTAAAAAAAAAAAAAACAGTAGAAGCAATTCTATACATCAAAATCTTTAACTATTTTCATTTAACAATATCTGATTTACAATATTTAAGAGATCACTTACAACATCAATCTATCTCACTAACCTCTTGACTACAAAGAATAAAATATAATACATAAATAAAATGAAAACTTAAAAATTTTGATTAATCTCACTCCACATGATCCTGACCTCTTCCTCGACCTAAAAAAAAAAAAAATGCAGAATGAGCTTAGAAAGCCCAGCAGTACCCCAAAACTACCAAAGCTTTCATTGCAAGGTCTCAAAAATTAGAAAGGATGCCCTTCTCAATCAATATCAAATATGTAGTTATTAGCAAAAAAATGATTTGTTGCTAATGATACAAATCAATATGATTAGTGAACAAGAAAAACTCAAAAATCATTACACGAAAATCCATAAATCACTATCATATATTGGAAGGGTAAATGCATGAGTTATATATCAATATTATGAGTTAATTAACGGGTATATCACTATTATTAATGCTACAGTCACATGTAAATACTACATCAGTGTGTTCAATCTTTACCACTTTTATGATTATATTCTTATGCAGTGTATGTTTCTCTAGCTCCATATGCTTCCAAATATTCATGTCAATGTATTTATCAATATTATATGAATTTAATCAGCAAGGTAGGACATCCAACTTTTAAGTGGCATTATCATTCTTCCATCTATCTTATCAATCTATCATCGTCAATCAATCATATATTTCAATAATTTCTATCTATTATTTACTTTAATAGGTGACTTTCAATAATTCAATAAAGAGTCGTCACTCTATGCTCGACGATGTAATCCGTAAATTAGTTCTAGATTAACATTTAGGATCACATAATAAACTTTTATTTAAAGGAAAGCCCGTCAGCCAACTTTCTTGTACATGGTTTATTGATTTAATAAGCAACATGTATTAATTATAGTGTTCACAACCATCCTTCTTTGCTTACATGCAAATGCCACTTTATATATATCATATATGAAATGCAATAACCCTTTTACAATATATGAAATGTATTATAATCTATATACTATTCATTAACTTTAAAAAATCATAAATCAATTTATCCTATGAAATTTAATAATATTAATGTC